ACAAGAGATCCTTTGAAGGAAAGGAGACTCCTATCTCCATGCTTAAATTCTCTATTATTACTACTATTTTTTGTTGGGTTATAGGGAGAAATTATAGATATTTAGAGGAGATTGTAGATTTTTTGGACTCCTTGAATGTTTAGAGGCCTTTTTGGCCTTGTGCAGTTCCCTTGGGACACGCTCCCCTTTTGGGCGCTTTTTATACGTTACTTATCAAAAAACAAAAAAAAAGTCTACTAATCTTACTTTATTTAATTTTTATTGACTTAATTATAATATAAATATATAAATGTTCCAATGCTGCTCAAACTACTTATCTTAGCAAAATGTTTATAAGCTGTTATATATACAACTAATTTGTTTTTCTGTAAGGAGATTGAAGGACTGATCATACAAATATGCATCAAAATTGCAATAAACATAAATAAACAACACACTAAGAATTGAGAAGGACACATATTACATAATCAAATTGGTAAAATGCAAGAAAATAAAAACACAGTTCAAATCACATACGTAACCTCTTTTAAAGAACCTTAAATCATCAAAAAGGTTTCTCACAGCATAGCAAATAAATTAGATCTGGAGCAACATAAGAAATGTAAGAGGATTTAGTAGAAACTGACCATTACAATACTCATCAGCAGGTAAAAAAGGTCAGAACTGCAAACAAAAAATGAAAATACACTGAAATGTGATGAAAATACTGTTATTGTTGTAAAACAAAAAATATATGTTAAGAGAGAAATTAAACGAGTAGGACACACAGCTATTACATGGTTCATCTACAAGGACCTACATCCACGGCACAAAGAGCCCAAAGGGCTACATATCTTTCATTATAATCTCTCTTTTCAAACACAATACAATGGTGGAGGCTCCTCTATAAAGAAGAAATGATGAGAACGGAAAGAGATAGAAAATAGGAAACAAGGAGGATTTTTCTCCACTGATTCCTCTAGTAACAGTAAATCTTCAATAATATGAAACAACATCAATTACTGGAGGATTTTTGTCCACGGATTCCTCCATTAAATCTTCAATACTTCCCCTCAAGTTGGAGCATGAATGCCCAACTTGCCATCGAGATGATAGGTAGCAACAACTGCCAATGATGAAGAGTGAAGAGAGAAAGCGAAGAACAATGCTACCGAACACATTGGCAGCCCAAACAAGTCAACAAAAACTACCAGAGACACGAAAAAGGCGAATAACAATGTTATCAAACACACCAGCAGCCCAAACAAGACAAAGGTGGAGACACATCAATGGTGAAGAACAAGGCTACCGAACACACTGGCAGCCCAAACAAGTCAATAAAACTGTTGGAGACATGGCAAAGGCGAAGAACAATGCTACTGAAAACACCGGCAGCCCAAACAAGTCAGCAAAAACTGCCGGAGACATGGCAAAGGCAAAGAACAATGCTATTAGACACACCAATAGCCCAAACAAGTCACAAATAGCACCGAGAAACCCTTAGCAACATTTCAGATGCTAAGTGAATACCCCAAAATAGGGGTATGAACCTAGGCAGAGAAATTAGGCTTTGATACCATGTTGAGAGATATAAAAATTGAAGAGAGAAATTAAACATGAAGAACACAATAATATGATGTGGTTCAGCCACTAGGGCTTACATCCACGACGCACAAAGCCCAAAGGGCTACATCTCTTTCATTATATTCTCTATTAATATTGTTTCCAATAAACACCTCTATTTATAGGTGAAAGAATACAAGAGATAAATATGAAAAATATATTGATGGAGGATTCTTAAAATCAATCCCATAAATCACTCCAATCAATATTCTATCATAGCTTAAAATCACTCTTATAATATTCTCCAACACCCCCCCTCAAGTTGGTTTACCTCAAGTGTCTGACTTGAAACTAAATACAGAGTTGTTGAGAGTCTGAGACGAGTTGATTAGAAGATCTGAGACGAATTGATCCGAAGATCCGAGATGAGTAGAGCATAGAGTAGGGTAGGGTATGATGAACGTGCTCTAATACCATGTTGTAAAGCATAAAATATATGTGAAGAGAGAAATTAAATGAGTAGAACACCCAACTATTATGTGATTTAGCCACTAGGACCTGCATCCACGGCACAAAGAGCCCAAAGGGCTACATATCTTTCTTTATTCATTACATTCTCTCTTAATATTGTTTACAATGAGCACCTCTATTTATAGGTGAAAGAATACAACAGATAATATGAAAAATACATTGACGGAGGATTCCTAAAATCAATCCCATAAATCACTCCAATCAATATTCTGTTGTGCTAAAAGCACTCTTATAATATTCTCCAACAGTTATAAATAATGTAAAATATAATATTTTCCAATCATGGCCTCATGGGTTTGACGAAAGACTAGTTAGGTCACATTATTGTTTTTTTGCATAATTTTTTTGAAGAGAGAGAGATTACAAAAGGACAGAGAGTAGCCGGATTTGTATATCAAGATTCAACCTCAAATTCATACACATCGGAGATAGCAGAGGATGTTTGATGCTCGTCTGGTGGTGCTCATCGTTGGAGAAGTTAGATTATATAGAGAGTTGCTCGTCGACTGGTGGTGCTCACTGGAGAAGACAGGTTACAAAAGGGTTGGCCATGCATTCGCGATTAGGGTTATAGCAAGCTAGAGTAGCCGTTTGCGACCTGTAATGCGATTAAGGTTGGGGCCAAAATGTTTTGGTCCTTTGGACTTAACCTTTTACGCTAGGGTTGTTTGGGTTATAAGTGGGATGGGTTATATTCTTTGTTGACATGACACGTTTAACAAATCGGGTTAAATGGGTTATGCGGGTTACGCATGTCAGGCTCGAACATGGCATGGTTAGTTTGCGTGTCTAATCGTAACGACCTGTTTATGACCCAAACCCAAACCCGCTTATCCTGTGTTATGATAATGTGTTGTGACAAATTTTGCCACCCCTACATTTAAGGGTATACTAGTAATCTTCTTCTACAAGGGTAAGAAGGCAAAATAACACATTAATGCACTCACCAATCTAGGGTTTATGCATTCATGATTAGGGTTTCATAAATCTACATGATTTTGATCCTATTTCATTTTTTAAAATCTTTAGAATATGCACAAAAGTGTTTCCATATATTTCTTGATATGATTTTTTTCAAAGTATAGAATTGCGATCGATCGAGGGTCACTGGAATCATGTCAATCAATCGACATGTTTTTCTTTAGATCGAGCCATGCGGAAAAGCGGTTTCTATTCTAGTTTAAAACACTACAAACCATATCCTCATACTTCTATTTTGTGTATAAATATATCATGCTAGGGGTGTTGTATCATTATTTATCTCATCATACTTAGTTTTGGTGAGTGTTCCTCATTTGTGTGTTGACATATACTGCAGCATATTTTGATTGATGAGTTGAAAACTAACCTCAATCTATTAAAGTGATATTGAACTGGAAGACTAGTGGCTGAGACCAAATAACTGGTGGCCTGGAGATTTTTAGGGGAAAATTTGGCATCAATTTGTGTCAAGGAGGTAACTAGGAATTTCTGGGGATTTGGGAACTGTAATATAGTTATTAAACCCTTTTTCTCATAGTGGATTTGGTTTGCTTAAACTAGGTCCTGTGGTTTTTCCCCTTTGGGGTATTCTATGTAAAAACCTTTATGTCTATTGCTTTATTTATTTTTTTCTTGCTATGGACTGAATGATTTTTACTTTTCTGCTATGAATTGAATTTAAATTAATATTAATTTAGTATAAATTCAAAAGCTAGTTAAATTCGGTATTCCATTCTAGAAGATCTATTAACCCCCCTCTAGGTTATTGACCCTTAGTAGCATGGGGCACGTGGAATCCCGTGTGAATCAGCAAGGACCATCTTGTAAGGCTAAATAGTCCTGGGTGACCGATAGCGAAGTAGTACCATGAGGGAAGGGTGAAAAGAACCCCCATCAGGGAGTGAAATAGAACTTGAAACCGTAAGCTCCCAAGCAATGGGAGGAGCCCGGGGCTCTAATCGCGTGCCTGTTGAAGAATGAGCCGGCAACTCATAGGCAGTGGCTTGGTTAAGGGAATCCACCGGAGCCATAGTGAAAGCAAGTCTTCATAGGGCTATTGTCACTACTTATTGACCCAAACCTGGGTGGTCTATCCATGACCAGGATGAAGCGTGGGTGAATCTAAGTGGAGGTCCGAACTGACTGATGTTGAAGAATCGGCTATCAGAGCCTCGACTTCCTATCCTAAATATCAAATTTTTTTTTTTTTTAATAGAAACTATCAATATGTGGTGTGTATATAATGCACAAATATATGTATGTGTGTATATATTTATATACGTATATATACGTGTAGATATGTGTTTATGCTATGCATGTAAATCTATATATGTGTGTTACAGTGCCTTGCTTCGGAAAGACTTGGAAGCGAGATTTTATTTCTTCCATTTTCTTACTCCTTTTGGAAGTGTTACCAATTTATACAAAACTACAACAACATTACCAAACATGCTTTCAACTGTACCTACTTTTTTTTCATTCCACTGCAAAAAACACAAAACAAAGAGGTTGCCAAACAGGCCCTAATTTTGGAGCCATATCATGGTGTTTGAATTTTATTTGGTGAATGCATGTACATAGATGTATCTATAGACATGTGTCACAGTGCCTTGCTTCGGAAAGACTTGGAAGTGAGATTTTATTTCTTACATTTTCTGCCTCCTTTTGGAATTGTTACCAACTTATACAAAAACTACAACAACATTACCAAACATGTTTTCAACTGTATCTACTTTTTTTTTCATTCCGCAGCAGAAAAAAACAAAACAAAGTGGTTGCCAAACAGGCCCTTATTTTGGAGCCATATCATGGTGTTTGAATTTTATTTGGTGAATTTTGGCAATTCAATATCCTTTAATAGTTATCTTGTTATCAAATGGATATGCTTCTCTACAGATTTTAGTATTCAAGGATGTTGGATAGCTAACCAATGCGAAATTATGCAGGCAGTTCAAAAGTTGGTTGATGAGGAGTTTCAAGGAATTGAACATCTGTGCACTTCAACACTGCATAAGAAGATTGTTTCTGCTCATCATGATTTTATCAAACTTTCGGGTTCTGAGAACAAGATGGAGTCATTGCTACAGGTCTGTTTCTTTGGACCTTAGTCTATATCAGTTACCAACTTTTATAGTGGTTGTTGATGGTGGTGGTTGTAGTGATTTTGACAGAAGTAGTACTAATGAATCATGTTTCTATATAGCTTGCTAAACACAGACATGTGCTTAGAGTGCAGTATGAAGGATCTAAAATATATTTCATGTTGCTATTATACTTTTGATGAATTTGGGCTATCATCTCTCTCCAAATTCGGGTTATCTGGATTGATACTTATTTAGTTTTTTCATAATATTGTGGAACCTAAGTTTTGATACTTTGATGTCTAAACTCAATAACCGTGGAACTAAATTGGAAAACATTTGATGTTAGTGCACAAAGGACCTAAATTGTTTTGGAAGTGGAACTAAAATAACTGCATCCTAGCAATATGTTGGCCAAGTTTGAAGATTCAAGGAATTTCCTTTATTGCAATTATTGTTTTCTTAATGCATGTGACACTATGAATTTCTTTGTTCAAACCATTGGAAATAAATGGAAAACTAACATCTTCACGTAGTTTCAAACGGACATTAAGACTTTGATGTAATTGTGGGTGATTGGTGTCGATTGAGTTCGTATGCTCATTCCTCATTGATGCTAACTACTAGACGTGCATTATGTTGGGTGATCTTGCCATGTCATAATTTATGAAAAGAAAAAAGAAATCTTCCTGTCAATCCGTACAATTTGTACAACAGCTGTTCAAGTGGCATCAACTTTTTCTTTTTCCTAAATAAGTGGCATCAACTTGACACCAAATAGCTTAGTTCCAACTACTTGTGTTGGTATATAAATCCTTTCTCATCAGTCACCATTTTGTTCAAGTTTGGCAATATCTAAATTGGTGATAGTATCTTCTTTATCCACCTTGACCCACATTTTTCTCCATCAGCTTCACCTGTCCTTACTCACAAATTGATTCATGTTTAAAATTCATGGTACCTTCTGTTGTCTAATCTGTTGGCTTGGAGGCGACAGTTAAACATTTTAAGTAGAACTATTCGAGTTTAGTTAAACATTTTAAGTAAAATTCATGGTACTTTTTTTTATCCAAATGATTCCCTTCCCCCATTGAGTTTAGTTAAACATTTTAAGTAGAACCATTCGAGTTTATCTGCAAAATCAAACACTGAATTATGTGATACAATTGAGTTGGTGTTAGTTTTGAAGTAAGATATTCTGCCAAAAGGGTAAAAATCACAGTGGGTGATATGATGATGTCAATGCAGGTTCTCGAGCCTAGTTTAGCAAAGGGAAACAGAGTGATGGTGTTCTGTAACACATTGAATTCTAGTCGTGCTGTGGATCACTTTCTTAGTGAAAATCAAATATCTACTGTAAATTACCATGGAGAGGTGCCAGCGGAACAAAGGTGAGACAAGGCAAGGTATTATTAGCAATATGTCTCTGTGCCTGTGTGCTTGCATGGAAATTGGAAGTGCATCTATAAACCTGGTAGATTTTATTGTTTTAGATGAAAAATGAATCACCATGCATCATTGCGAGTCAAAATACGAGCATATATACTACCAAACAACATTAACAAAGCCCTCTCTAGCTCCCTACAGAACAAGAAGAAATACCATAACAAAAATGTATATATATACACACATCAAAAGAGTGAATCTTGTAAGATTTGGAACTTATTAGATGTCCTCTTGATCTACATGCCTATTAAATTTTCAATTGTTGTGTGTGTAAAGCTCAACTATAACAAAAGGCAAGTTTTTTTATATTTTGAAGTAAGAAAACCCTAATGGGCTTCCCCTCTTTCTTTCTCTAAATGGTGATAACAACAAAAAATGTTGATGCTATATATCAAGTAGACTTGTAAGGTATTTGAAATTACTAGCGTTGTTTTCTCCTGTCTTCAATATTACTATTTTATCTTCAACTAGGGTTGAAAACCTCAATAAGTTTAAGAGTGAAGATGGTGATTGTCCCACATTGGTCTGCACGGACTTGGCTGCTCGGGGACTGGATATGGATGTAGATCATGTTATTATGTTTGATTTTCCCATGAACTCCGTAAGCTCCTTCGGTTACTGCTTTTTTGTTTAGCTTTCTTATCATCTTGTGTTTCAATTTATTTTTTCTACATTTGAAGTTTAAAATTCCTTTCTTTTTTCAACTTTTTAGATTGACTACCTCCATCGAACTGGAAGAACTGCTCGCATGGGTGCAAAAGGTATGGATCTAATTCTCTAGTTTTCCAATATTAAGAATAAATAGAAGTGCGTATAGGGCTCATGTAAACACAATGGGATTCCTCTGCCTGTTTATTTGGACTGTGGATTGGATAACTTGATAGTTTGAGCTCAAAGGGAATGAAATATGTCGCCTAAATTTGATGGAAGCATGTAAATATTTTGTATGTAATAAATTCTATTGCATTCATTCCTGAGCATTTACATGTCAGGATGAATTGTAAATAACAACTCTTTGTATGATTTCAAATTAAAGAAATCCATCATTTGAGATTGTCAGTTCTTTTTAACTTTTTTATGTTTTTGAGTTGCTCAATCAAGAAATCGTTTTTCTTAATAGGTAAAGTGACAAGTTTGGTCACGAAGAGGGACGCGATTTTAGCCTCCCGAATTGAGGAGGCCATAATGAAGAATGAGAGCTTGGAATCTGTAACTGCAGATAACGTCAGGAGGGATATTGCCAGGTCCCGAATAAACGGGCAGAAGGGGCAGGTAAAAGATTCAAATCAGAAAAACAAGACTAAAGCTGCATCAGTGAAATCTTCAAGTGTGCATGGAAAGGTTTCATCAGCCAAAAAGGTATCAGGATCGAAGTATGGAAAAGTGTCTGTTCCATCCAAACCCATGAAGAAAGCAGTTAAGATGTCCAAGCCATTAAAATCTTCAGGTGCGAGTAGCTCAAAAAGAGCAACGTCTCATGTGCAAAAACAGCCAGATAGCAGAAAATATGGCGCGAAATCTACATCTTCAAAACTTAATGTTGTTGGGTTTAGAGGACGGAATTCTTCGTCCAAAGAGTCATTGAGGGTCAGTTAAATGCAATTAGTGTGTGAATCATATATGAATTAAATACCTTTTAAAGTATGCACTTAAATGTATTGTTAAATTCATTTTTTGTGGACCATTGGCTTTTGTCTGGCTGTTAAATTATGCAATTTCTTGACCCCATTGCTGGTGAAAATATATGGCTACACAAGTAAATTAGGGATAAAAGTTCTCGCAGCGTTCGGTTGATTTCATCTCTCTTTATTTTTGGAGGTTGATTTCATCCAATTATTAGTACAACATACTCCAGGCAGAACTACATAATCCATAAACACTGAGCCATAGGTTCAGAATACAACCTATTCGTATCAATGAGCTTGGCAAAGTGATCTTGAGAGGAATGTCACATGATTATTATCCTGAAAAGGGTTTCAAGCCAAATTTACAAGGACCAAGAGCTTACAGACATAATAAAGCAACAGAATTTTGATTTCAGAACCCTCTGATGGTGATCATTTCCATGGGAGAGCACGAGAAGTTTTGGCAGGGGCAGCGACATTACCGGTGGAGTCATAGATAATGACACCAGAAAAATCCGGAAGCTGGCACTTCCCGCCCATCAGTATGTTCTTCTGCCAAACTGAGACTTCACCGCCATTATAAGCGCTCCCTTCACCGTTGTTGAATTGGATTCCGTGAATCATTCCTTCGGAGTTGAGTTGTATGACAGGATCGTGGTTGTGGTAGCCATAGTAAGCCTTCCATCGATGCCATTTACGCGAATGAGAAGCGCACATGAACAGTGCAAAGGCATACAAGAGAAAGGCCACTGCAGCAAATCCTGCTTGAGTTGTGGTTGTGTTCCTTAGGTGGTGGTGTATCAAGAGAAGTGGGCGGGCCATCAGATATCTGTTGAAGCTTCATCTGTATAGGAAAGTATTTATAAAATCTCATAATGGATTCTATAAATGGGGTTGTTGGAGTTGGAGGATTTGTTAAGGTTTGGATTGTGATTTGACTTGGTCCTTTATACTAGTAGTTAAATCTATTAATGGTTTTGGTGACCTTCAAGCCTCAACTTGAACCTCCTTTTAGTTGGGTAAAATTAATTTACCCATGTTGCATTACACTTTCTATACCATTGCTATTGTAGCCTAATGTATCTCAATATCTCGTGCATTAGGAGTGGATGGTGAGGGTTCTAAGTCTATCATAGGTAGGGCCCAACATAGGACTAGTGGGGGCATCCACCCTCACTAAATTTTTAATATTTTTATTTTATACCTCAAATGTTTTAGAATTTATGAAGATGCCCCCACTAAAATTTCAAATCACACCCATTGAATTCTTTTTTATTTTATTTTGTACATTACTTTTTTGAGAATTTATGAAGATGCCCCCATTAAAATTACAATTTGCCCCCACTAAATTTTTCTTTTTGCATTTTATATTTTAAAATTTTGAAAATCTATGAAGAAAACCCTATTGAAATTACAAAAATTGACCCACTATATAAATTTGCCCCAACAAATTAAAAGGTCGCTCCCTTGTGAAATTATCTGGGTCTGTCACTGATCATAGGACTAAATGGCTGTACAAGTTTTTTTTTTGTCAAGAAATAAAGAAAATTAATAATAAATAAAATAATAATAAATCAACCACTCCGTTTGAATGGAATGATTTGGAGGGATTTAATATAACGTGAAGTGTGTTTGGGTTGTCTTAAATAGAAAGAAAAGAAATGATTGGTTGAGATTTGGAGGGATAATTTGTTTATATGTTATCCTCCCAAAAATAGAAAAATTTATAGATAAATAATAATAGTTAAGTAATACTTTTATAATTCCAAAACTATTCCAACAATTAAAAGAAGAAACTTGTTATGACACTTGAGTCCCATCTTATAAAAGAATAGGACAATAATTTGATTGTTATGCTTTGTTTTATTTTCGCTCCCTCTAGCTTTTCCAAACAGAATATTATCTTTGTTTTTTTCTTTTCGGTCATAATTTATCCAAATATGAATATAGATTGTTGTTATCTTTATTCTTCTTTTCTTTTCATTTATTTTTTTTTCCCAGCTAAGTCGAATACTTAAATTACTCTCCAGACCCAATTGGTTGTATTTGGGCCCAAACACTGACCACTGGACTAAATTGTTGGACCACCAACTATTATAGTTGTACACGTTTCAAACTCATCTTTTACATTAAGGTCACTTGATTACCGTTTAGCCACATTAAACTATCGAGGGTTTTCAATTTTTTTTGTTCATTGTCGTTCTCTCGCGTTGTTGCTCCGAAAATGCATCAGCGTTCACCAATCTCTCTCTGTAAACTGCTTTCTAGATACCCTTTTCAGAGATCTGCAATACCCGGATCTTCAATTTCTCTCCAATCACTCGAGGCAATCTCAAACCATTGTGTTTCAGACTCCGTTCCACATCCAAAACCTATGAAAATCTGCCATTTTCTTCATCCAAACATCTCAAGTCCAACGACCCTGTTCTTCTCAAATAGGAGAAATTACAGTGTTGATACGAATAAAGTGGTCGACGAGATCAATCTCAAGTTTGCAGAGGCAAGGGAGGAGATAGACATGGCCATGGAATCCAAAGAAACCGTGTACTTCGACGAAGAAGCTGAATGCGCTCGGACCGCTGTCAAAGACGTTGTGGACATGTTTGAGGGACTGCTATCTAAGTTGCCGGAGACCGAAAGGGCCCCTATACAGAGGTCTATGGGTCTCAAGATTGAGCAGTTGAAGGCTGAAGTTGAACAATTGAACGACTAATGAGGTTTGTTCTTTTGGGTTTTGAGTCATAATTGATTTGGGTTTTCCTTTCCTTTCCCTTTTTATCTTAATGATGTAACTGTCATGGTTGACGATTAACTATCAATTTATGGTAGTGCAATAGACATAAAATCCAATAATGGTTTCGTATTGGGTTTTAAATATATGAAAATTTTCTGTCTCTTTTCTTTTGGAAATTGTTGTACAATCTAATTGCAATTGTGTTCAATGGAATGCAAATACTTGGTACACTGATTATCAATTTTAATTGAATTCATGATTTTTTTTTCCTAGTTGACTTACCCACTTAAGAAGTACAATACACATTACATGAAAGTTCTTGAATGTTCATGTGTTGAATTTAGGTTTCTTTGGCCCCTTAAACTCATCTACGAACGTACAAAATTATAGTTAATCAGTCTCCTTGAAATGTTGCTTATATTTCTTTCCGAGTTGAAAACATAGCATAACTTGCTGGGGTTTGTACTGGGTGTGTAATTCAGAGGCAGCATCTTTTAGATATTTGTAAGAGTTAATTCTAGCTGCAAATAGTGAGATGTGAAACCTTATGATACAGCAGCCTCCTAAAATAAATCATTAGTGGGTTTTGCTGGTGAATTGTTGATTTTCAAAGAAATGTCTATGTTGGGCTACTTAAGTTGGTTTGAGAGTGCACTCAATGCAGTGAAACTAGATATTGATAATTGCAGGTTTAGGTAATTATCTTAGTGGTTCCTTGCTGAATTGTCAAGGCTTTTTGAATATTCTCTCAAATTGTGTTATATATTTTTAGAATTATTTTTATTACTTTTAGGTTATCTTATTTGATGACTTTAAATCACGACCTTTTAGTTTATGCCATAGTTCTAATATGTTCCCGTGTCACTATCTTTGCATTTCAATGTGCTTTTTGGTGAAGATACTCAACATCTCCCATAGCTTAAGCTGTTTTTTTTCTTAATTATTATTATTATTATTTTATCGTGCTTGTGCTCAGATTTTTGGAGGAATTAATCTTTTACTTAATTGGCATGACCTCTGTCTTTTCATCATTCATCTCTCTGTAGTTTTTCCACTCGTTCTTTTCAACATTCTTGTTCCAGCTATGCTCAATATTTTACCATGTTGTCTATTGGCTTCCCCTTAACTTGGTCCTACAATATATATATATATATATATATATATATATATTTGATAAGTAAAATGTATTAGAAAGCATTCAAACGGGGAACGCATCCCAAGAGCTATACAGAGGCCGAAGCCAGAGACAAGGTCCTTAGGACCCACCGAACCCAAAAGATCAATAAACTCATCAATGGATGTACAAATTTTCCCCAAAACCCAACTAAAAAGAGAGCTAATAATATGAAAGGAACGCCGAAAACGCAAACCTACCGTTATCAAGCCGATAACAGTTGGCCACCAAAGCATGTCTATCGACGGCAATCCGGAAAAGTCTGGGAAAGGAACAAGCCAATGGGTGATCACCACACCATAAATCCTCCCAGAACCGAACTCCCCTGCCATCTCTGAATCTAATATGCTTAGAAAATTCATCCCATCCCTTACGAATGAATTTCCAAGCACCCACGCCTCCAACGAATCTGACCGGATCTGAGGACCAACCGCCTCTCCCCTCCCCGTAGCGACACACAACAACCTTCCTCCAAAGACAATGGCACTCACTACCAAATCTCCACAACCACCTTCCCAAAAGAGCCCTGTTGAAAAGGGCCAATCTCCTAATACCCAGACCTCCCAATGGAATTGGGCTGCACACTTGGTCCTACAATATTGCTTATAATTTGTAGTAAAAAAATGTTTGAAATGAGAGACGTTTCTTTACATGTAGTTATATTACACTGAAATTATATATTATAATAAAGTGGCCATCACCTTCTCATCAGTGATCACCTTCACTGGGAATGGCATATTCGCAAAGCTCCCGTGACATCCACCCTCTCAGCAATTATCCGCAGAGCCCCTTTTCTGCTATGAATGAATGACCTCTTCATTCATTTTCAGGTTTGTTCTTCAAATTGGCCTATAGCTCTTCTCTACGGCAAGTTTCTACCATCTCAATAAGACATTCATTCCTCAATTAGTGCGGTGCTCTCAAAAATCTCAATCCTCTAAAGCTGAATCATAGAAATCCGCCATTCAATTAGTGCGGTGCTCTCAAAAATCTCAATCCTCTAAAGCTGAATTACAACACTCTAAAATCACTTGTGAAGAAGATACAGTTGTCATGTGGTGTCTAACGTACAAATTTTAGATGCTGTTACTTCTTGGATTGGAGTCGATTTTCAGAAGTTGAACTACTTGGCATACTCTATTGTCATGAAACTGAAAACTATATATATGAAAGATGCAATACCTCAGGGTGCCTCCAAGTGACCATGACAGAGAACATGCCTGGATCTCTGCCATGTTCTGAGGTTTAAATTAAATTTGTAAAATATTTTTTGAAAAGAAATGGATGTGTCATAGCAACCGAATCTGGTAATTAACTATAATAATTTGATGAACCTGAGAAGTTTATTTTTACAGTGAAACAGGATGCTGTGGTTTCTTATTGTGCCATTTTGCATATTTGATGCATATATGGAAAGTACTATATTCGCATCTTTCCGTTATGCCACTCCTCCATTGGCGTTGACATGCTTTGACAAATTTGAGCGTTGGAAGGTCTTAGACTTATTGCAACACTAGGGTTGGGGGAGGGAATCATTTGGCATATAACAATGAACGAAGCAGATACATGAATTTTATATTTTCATTCTACTCTATCTAAGGGCATTCAACCATATGTTATCATATATTTTCTTTCTAAATTTACTACATATGTTGATTCTTCTGTTCTTTCCCTTCTTCTAGCATTATCCTTTAATGTGGACCATTTTTTTTCTAAGCAAGATAACTTTATCAGATGAGCATGTATGTATTTATAGGAGAAGGGAGACAGCCCCCCTAGAAACAAGAGCAACAAAGGCCAAAGCTAAACTAAAGGCCAAAGCCCACCAACCATTACAAAGCAAAACAACAAATGTGATGCTTGTCACTCTTCCTTTTACTACTGCACTTGATCTCCTTTGCAGATGTCCAAACCACCTTAATCATATTTTTATCATTTTGTCGTGAACGGTTTATATTTCAACCTTCTCACGAATGTGTTTTTTTTTTTTATTTTTTTATTTATTATTTTTAATAAGTATGAATGTGTTCATTTTTAATTCTGTAATTTAATGTCTTGCTGTATATCTATCTCAATTCGTACTTTTGCAATGCTCACTTTTTGCATATTTTGTTTCTTAGCTGCCACATTATGTCTCGTAAAGAATGGCTGGTCTAAAATAGTTGTTTTATAGAACTTTCGATATTTTGATCGCTCCATGCTTTGCTATTTAATGGATAGCCAATGATGATATTCCTTCATCAGACTTAACATCAAAAATTTCAAAATTCTCTCTATCGTCAATCACAAAGCATTACACCCGAACACCATGTAGTACCCAATGTTGGGTGTCTTCCCATTCCGTTGCTCATCCTCATAGGGTGTCTTCCCTAATTTTTCTCTTATGATCACTCTGTTGATTACATAACAAGCAGTGTATTGGTAGCTTATGTTGGTTGAGCAGGGTTCTACGGTTCTACCCATCTCTTCTTGTATGGATCCGTTCTTCCTCGTAACAATTCCATTGTATTGACGGGTCGAAGATACAGAGGAATTGTGATCGAGGGTACAAAATTTCTCCATGGAACTCTCCACCTCAATCACTTCTAACATAAGTCAACACTCTCTCTCTTTCTGTACTCTCCTACAAAACTTAGTAAACAAATGGTTTTTTTTTTTAAAAAAAAAAAAAAAAAAAAAACTGGCAATCAGGAAAACAGCCATATGGGCATCTCAAACACATCCATAAATGGCCGTACAGAGGCAACAAAGCTCAGCCAGAAAAAAGGCAAACAAATCATGAAGCAAAAAAAAAAAAAAAAATGAAAAACAGGCTTCAGATTTTTTGAGATACGAGCCACCGCTCAACAACATACACCACGAAGGGAGAAAAGTAGCAACAGGAGCGACCTAAAGGCGACATAGGTCAGAGATCTAGTCGGAGATAAAACAATAGATCCAATCCACCCAATCGAACTGGAAACAAGCCAAACAGACATAGGTCAGAGATCTAGTCGGAGATAAAACAATAGATCCAATCCACCCAATCGAACTGGAAACAAGCCAAACAGGAGTAGATCTAACAAAACAAAAGTAAAAACAGCGTGAAAACCATCCATAGAGCGAACTTATTATTACATGTCGAGTTTATTTAGTCTGTGGAAGGCAAGAAACGGCACCTTCCCACTCCCATTGAAGGGAGTGGGGAGAACAACAGACGGGGGAGACGATGGCAGAAAGGGTAGAGAGAGATAGTAAACAAATAGTGTGCCAGATTTGTATCTAGAGCTACCATCACAAAGGCATACAATTTGCCACTGGGACTAAACAAACTTAATCTTAGGCAGTCCTCTAACTAATTCTTTCCTAGGCAGTCAAACAATCACGAACCAAGAACAAATCACAAATGAAGACAGAAAAGTAAACTCGCTACATGCACATAACACAAATTTATGTAGTTTGGTAAAATTTACGTTCGCAGTGAAGATCCGATGAAAGAATTCACTAAGCAAAGCCCCAAACCTTGGTTCTTGCTCTACTGTCAAACTACAGTCAACTTTGTCGACCTCTCATCTCTTCATTTTTGCGTAAGTTGGGCCACTGTTTGGAAGCCCCAACTGAGACTTTTACTTTCTCTTGGTCACCAGCCTTTTGGGGGTAGTCATCATTCTAAGCCCCACCACCTTGCCAGCCACGCCTCTTCGTGGCCCAATGGCGTCCTATGCACAATTTTTAGGTTAACAATGAGATTTGTCTATCAATTGGTATATAAGAAAAGAGAAATAAAATGGTATAGTATAAGATTCTTCTTCAAAATTATATTAGTAGTATTATTCCTCTATTTTCCTCTTTTACATAGTGTGTGAGGATTTCATTTTAGGGGCACATTACCTGATAAAATAAAACATATAAAAAAAGACAAATATAAATTGTTCAATTCAAAAATAAGAAAAAGAGAATATTGAAAAATAATATGCTAATCAAAGAATAGTATAAGAAAGATAAATAATTGACATATATAAG